TGAGAAACTCAACTGATTAATAAAATTCCCCCAAAGATATCGATCGCGTTTTATTGCACGACTATAATCAGATAAGATATCATGATAGGAGATCGATTATTTTAATCGCGAAAGGAAATTATAAGATAAGAAATTTGAATTCTCTATCAATTTCTTGTTGATCGAGTGCAAGTATATGGCGTCATAATGCAAATAATGAAAAGTTTTTCTGGGTCGCAAAAGTCAAACGTGATCCCCATCGAGACTCGATGGGGCGCCCTCAGGAAATCTAAACCGGTAACAAGATGGCTGCTCGGAAACGGAAACCGGAAGCTTGTCACTCAAGCTACGCGGACTTCCGGCGTGTCCTGAAAAAAGGGAAGCAGTTCTGGTACGGTCGAGAAAAGGGGGGAAGAGACAGAGAAAGAGAGAAGAAAGAATGATATTGTTTCAATTGTATTGTTTTATTAATTTTTTTTCAAAAAGGAACAATACGATATTAGTGAAATCTTTAAATTTTCTGTTATACTTATATTAATTATATTGTTTTCTTATATTAATTTGTAAATGATGCAAAGGAAATTATGTTTACTGTTTAGAATTTTGTAACAACATTTTTGAAAAATATTATTATTAATGTTGAAACAAAATCTAAATAATTTGCATATTTTGATATTGAGAACCTCGTATTGATTGAGAGAAATTGGTTATTATAAAAAACAATTTTTTACACGGCAGAATATGAATCTCAAATCTCTTTCTTTAATTCTCTTTTGTAAATACGTTTCCTTTTTTTAAAGAGATGAGAGAGAGAAAGGAGGGGGAGGTGAGAAAGAGATATGGACTATTTTTTTTAGATAAAATTGATAAGAAGAAACAAACAGTGAAAATTTGATATCTTAAGATCCAGATTTATTAAATATGTTTCTGATATATTAGTTTATTATATATTATACACAATTTACATATATACAATAAACCTATAACTAATTAATTAAGGACGAAACATTGGATGTTATTGTGATTATTCGCAATGTTAGGACCTTGCATATAATTCTCTGATTACTGTAGTATCATAATAAACATTACTATATTATGAAACATTACTGTATCTCAATATAGTACAGGCATATTTTAAGATTCAAATATTTTAAATTTAAAATAACGATTTACAGGGTTAATTCTAATATCAATAAAATGTTGCTCTTGTAATAAAATTCTCTTGTATTTTAATTACACTTTTAATACTTTTTAAATGCGTATGCATATAATGAAATTATTAACAAAGCTGAATTTATTCCGACAAAGATATTCAGCTGTACAAAAATTTCACACGTTTCGTGTATTCCTAAATTAACCTGTTTCCTTTCTTTTTATTTATGAGATATAAAACATTTCGAAAAGTACAGAATCACAAAATTATATAACTATCTCACAAGCATAGAATTTTAATCTGGAAAATCTTGAGAAATATCATACACGCGAATGTTTTGACGATATGAAGAAAAACTATGCACAGTTTACGTTAATTATTTGTGCAAATCGTGAAGAAATGTCTACAACGTAAACATTTTACGATGATCGAATGAGCGGATCACAATTGAGCCACGAATCGATCCGTTGTAGCAATAATCCATCTTTGTGTGATTTACTATTGTTCCGAAAAAGTTATTAAATGCACGTGAATGCTTAGTGCAATATTAAGTTAGACGACGTTATGCATTTTATAATTAAATTGAAATTTGTTGCATTTATAAGATATTCTTTCTCGTGATACACACTGGATTGATTTAAATAAAATCTACATATTTGAAGTCATTCTAATGTGTAACAGTTTGTACAAATATTTTATTTCATAAGAATGCAACATCGGTATTACTAATGAAATTTTTCTACACGTTTTCTTACATTTATAATTATTTATAACTATTTAATTTATAATTATTTACCTATTCACGTCAAAGTAATTCATTAGACGTGAAAGTGATCTTTGGTTTTTGATAGTATTCGTTACTGTCTCTAATTCTTTTATAAATATCAACATATGTAAAAAATTTCTAGTAGTCGCAGTTCTTGATTTTAATTATCTTCTGTTAAAGAAATTGTAAGCTTACGGAACTACGAGATGCGTTTTTTAAATTATCTCTAACTTGAATTAAGTCAAATTAATTGATAAAAAACATAAAAAAATAACGCAAGGTTGCAGTGCTAAGATATATTTGAAATTCTTAGCACTGTAACCTTGCGTTTTTATGCTCCTTAACAATTAATTTGACTTTGTTTGGAAACCAGAATTGGAAATTGTTTGTTGAACTACTTTCTGACGGAACGTATTAATTATTTTGTTACTACTTGTATTTTTAACGATAAGGGTTTATCAATTCTTGAATTTTTTCAATATCAACAGTTTGTGTTTTGAAGTAACGCTTACTTCAAATTGTATCTAATCGTGTATATACGTATTAAAGCTACGCATTATGTTGTATGTGAATAATTAATATATCGCGAAGTTTGCTTGCCTTGAGGAACATTAAAATTCCATTGTCATACTTTTTTAGTCTTATATAGATCAATTAACTCGTTATAGTTTCGTTGCTATATATTTTATATGCGAGATATACTCATTTATAACTGTTTATGCGTTAAATTCCTTTGCGCATATTCATAAAAATAATTAAGTATTTGCGGTCAAACTGTATATCTATTGCTATCGTAAAACATTTTCAATTTTTCTTTTTAGGCATCTTGAAAAAAGTTGAAAGACACACATTGGATAAAAGAGATACTATTGAAAGACAAAATTAAAAAAAATGATATCTAAGATTAAGATAATTGATAATTTCGAATTCATTTATATATTGTATATATAATTTTGAGATATCTTTCTAGGAAAATACTAACTGATTTTAGTTCAACTTTGAGTTCGTTGAACGCGCGTGTTGAATACTCTCGTAAAACATCGTACGTCAAGCAATTTTACTTTGAGAAGTCCGATTGTATACGTTTCTCGAAATACTGATGGTTAAACACTTTGTTAAACTTAGGAATGATTTAGCTTTTCATTTTATTACATGTCTGTGCTTGTAATTACGTTCATTGCATCAACAGAAGATATGCACGAAAAGTTGAACTTAAGAACCAATGCCCTAAAATTTGTTCCGTCAATTATTTCCAACTAATACTTGTTAACCAGTTCATTTATATTTCCTTCGCGTTGATAAACGGTGTCGTCGGATGGTATCGATTTCGTATTAGGTGCTTGAATTAATTCTCACTGCTTTTTGCTAAAAAAAATTTGTGCTTATTTTATCAAAAAGGTACCTGATATACTTTATTCACAATATTGTCCATCGAAAGCTATAATCTTTTCCCACTTTTCGGGTAACAAATAGATTCCGCGGTAGAAAAAATTCAGGTTCTTTCGAGGAGATCCAGTCATCGATCCATTTTTTGACATCTTCGAAATAACCGAAGTGTTGCTTAGAAAGACCATGCTACATCGACCGAAACAAATGGTAATCTGATGGAGCAACGTCTGGTGAATAGGGCGGGTGAGGTAAGACATCTCATCCAAGTGCCTCCAAGATTTCCTTCACTGGTTGTGCAACATGTGGTCCGGCGTTGTCATGAAGAAGAATAACTTTATCATGTCTTTTGGCATATTGCGGGCGTTTTTCTTTGAGTGCTCGATTCAAATTGAGTAATTGACGTCGGTAGCATTTACCATTGATGGTTTGACTCGGTTGCAGCAACTCGTAGTACATGACACCGACTTGATCCCATCAAATGCACAGCATGACCTTCTTTCCATGAATATCCTGTTTTGGTGTTGATGGTTCGCCGGGACGCATCCATGATTTCTTGCGTTTAGGATTGTCGTAACGAATCCATTTTTTATTGCCAGTCACAATTCGATGCAAAAACGACTTCCGTTTTTGTCTTTGAAGCAGCAAATGGCTAAACGTTTCGCAATGTTTCTTTCTCTCAATTGATGTGGGATCCAATTTTCTAACTTTTGGATCATTCCCATTGCTTTTAAATATTTGCTAACGGTTGACGCATTGACATTTAATGTTTTCGACAACTCTTTGAGCGGCTGACATGAATCTTTTTGAAGTAATGCCTCCAATTCTCCAGCTTCAAATTTTTTCGACTGACCAAGACGCTCTTTGTCATTCATGTCAAAATCGTTATTTTTAAATCTTCTAAATCAATCTCTGCAAGTTTCAAAGGGCATGCTCCTCATAAGCCTTCACTAACAAACGATGACTTTCAGCAGAAGATTTCTTGAGGTTAAAACAGAAAAGTAACGCTTCCCGTAAATAATCTTTTTTTGGTATAAAACTCGACGTTTTTAACGCGATAAAAAATTGTGTTCTTTGCATTCGATCAAACGTTATATATTCATTATTAAAGCCTATAATGCCTTACTGATGAGTCCAGTAGTGGAAGTCGAGACGAAACGCCAAAAATTACGTGATATTCTTCGCAATATATTAGAATCAATTAATGAAGATGGTCACATTCATGATCGAAAACGTTTAAATGGTCACATTTATAACCGAAAACATTTATGTAATTGAATTATATTAAAAAAACAATTTCTCACAAAAAAGATCCAGTATAGTGGTATATGCTCATTATTTATTTTAGTATTAAAGCCTATTGATTGTACTTTCATATACATAAGCAGTCACTTTCGGCCCTGTTGAAACATCACAAATACTGGCCTCTCCCGATCAATAGCGAGAATTAATTCAAGCATCTAATAATTATTATTACTATCGCATTATCACGAACCTTCCAACACTTCAATATGTTCAACATCACTGTCATAAGATTATTCATACCTTCCATCTTGAATTTCTTCTTCTCTTCATTCTCTTCGTATTTTTAGGAATTCTTGTTCACGACAATAGTTTAATCGAGGATTGCTATCGATTCGCAATACTCTTTGATTAGCGTGAATCGCCACGAATTGCGATGGATTATTTTATCCTAGTCAGTTCAGTTTAACTACCTTACCACCAATATTTTTGTGGTATATATGGCGCCATAGGGACCTGGCCGCTTCCGGGATATGCAGTAGGTTCCATCAGCTTGGATTGGCAAGGTTTGCCATCTCTCACCAGCACTGGCACGGCGACTCTTCTGGGCGAGCAGCCGCTGCCGCCGGCTTCCACACGTTCACTCGCCGCCCTCTTCGTCTTGTACCTGTGATTTTGGAACCAGATTTTCACCTGCGTCGGCGTGAGGCGAATGATAGAGGCCAAGTGCTCTCGCTCGGGCGCGCTCAAATAACGCTGTTGACGGAAACGTCGCTCTAGCTCGTAAGTCTGCGCCTTGGAAAATAGTACGCGTCGCTTGCGTTTCTTGTGCTCGGTCTCGTGAGGCTGCGACGTCTCGTTGCCAGTCTGTTGCTCGTCCTCGAAATCCTGCGACTCTTCGTCCTTCGATGACTCATGACTGTTCTCCTGTTGTGACGGGAACGACATGTCCGAGATCGCCGGGCTCGTCGAGTCCGGTTGTTGAAGAACTGAAAAAGTGTAGAAAAAAGAAATTAAAATAGCATTTTCTTATATTTTAAAAGAATCTTGTTTTATCACATTCTTTTGTAATTGATATCAATCTTCTTGAAGTATTATATTATATTTCTAGAAAAGTTACATTTTGAATATAATGTGAAATATTATTTGAAAAGAAGTTTGTTTCCTTGTATTTAATTAAATCAATCTTGTTATGTACTTTTTCGTGAATTATACTTACGTAGATCGTTGATGTAGTCATCAAAATACATAGTTAGATAAAGTGAAGCAGAAGTATAGTGTTTAGTAATCAACCAACTCAATTACTTGATTGACGTTAACGAACTGCAGCTGCATTTCGATTCAGCCGACACCATCGATTGCTCTTAGCGTTGATTACCGGCAGATGCTACTCTGCATTGATTTTTTAATAGTTCTTCTAATCATACTTTACTCTAATCACAATTAGTTAACCCTGAGTTTATCCTGAGTTAAATTTTACATGAAAGTCTTTTTCGGATATAAATTTTTCTATATATATAAATTTTCTCTTTACAATGCCTTTTATTTCAATATTATCTAAACTTTTGTTTCATGACGCTAAATAATGGGAAAATTTATTTAATTAGTTATGAAAATAGAAAACGATTGAATATACAAACTGTTATTATAATTTGCAATTTGATGCGACATAATAAAGGATTAAATTTGAACAATACGTAAAATATGAACGATGACGAGGCAAATGTCATTTTACTAACGCGGTAATTATGCTACGAGAAATACATGTATAATAACTTTATTTAGCGGAGTGTGGGTAAATGTTACGACCTGGCCGAGATACCGGCTAATTTCGTGTACAACGTCGGGATACTGGCTTTCGTCGTAGTACAATATGCTTTTGTGAGCAACCCCTGAAACCCGCTTGGGGAGGGTGTGAACCAATATAAAGCCTATTTGATACCCTCGCTGGACCCCATGGGATCAACCATATCATTTTCATGGGAGATTAGATCGTGCTCGCAGTCGTACTGTGATTTCAATTAAATACTCGTCGCCGATTAATGAAGAAAGCTACGCGATGGCGACAAAGAAAGGAATGACGCGTCTTCTTTAGTTATTCACAGAAATATGAGTCTTTTCTAACTTTATTCTTTTCTAATTTTGAAAAAATAGAATTGGCTGAATATGGCACAGCATTTTTAATTTACTACATTGTGCAGCAGCCAATTTTTGGTCGCAGCAGCCATTGCGGATGACTAATGCAACTAAAAATTAGCTGCTGCAGTCGATTAAATTACTGCAGCAGCCAATCTTTTCTTTCAGTATAAAATCTACTTCACAGTGACTCTTAATGACTGTGTTACAGTGTCATTATGCAGGCATAACAAAAAAACTATACAATGATACTGTAACGTTACAGTTGCAGCCCAAATGGAACAGCAAGTCATGATAACGTCAAAACGACACTGAATTAAACAAAATGAATCGGAAATGGTTGAAAAATGACTTTTAATGATCATTTTGGAGTTATTTTAACATCATTTAGATACTAATATAATGACTTGTTGTTTTGCTTGGGAGTCGCTAAGAATTACAAAATAGGCTGCTTAATCTTTTCATAATCTTCGAACAAATATAAATTGTATAATATATACAATTGCTGTCATTTGTATTTGAACTTGTTTATTGATGAATTTAGTAAGGAGTGAGTAGATCAATTTGATTCAATGTACATAACTTCTTTCTTAATACGAAAATGAAGATAAAAGGATTTATATATAATTCTGTTTGAAATGTGTGTAGTTATAATATAGGTATGTATTTAATGCAACAGACGAATGAAAGAATTTAATACAAGTCTAGCTTATCATCTTATGCAACTTTCCAAGATTGATCAGGTCGTATTTGACTCTGGTGTGTGTCTAAACTTTTTGTAAATCAGCTTCGAGAGAATTCAGTGTAATACGCTATCCAATGAACAGTGTAAACGTCTGATATAAAAGAGATCCACTCAATCGTGCTTCTCCCCTCTTTATCTGGTACAGGACCGCAATTATTCGCGCGTGATGCGTTTCTCAACGGTTTGACACGTTGCCTGAATTTTTCGCTGGTGCAAACTGTGGCAAAGGAGACGGCAAACGCGGGATAGGTCGTCGGTGAATTTTTTGGGCGTGACGATACCGATTCATTTGGGGGGTCGGGGACATGGGACCCCTCTCTCGCATCTGTCCCCGACTCAACATCTGTCCTCTTTCGCGGACCAATCGCTGTGCGGTACCCACGAGGACCTTTTACAGAACCATTAGATCCTGCTTAACCCTCACGGACCAATTGTAGGGTGCTAAATAAATAAGGGTTTCCATCTCGCACCCCCTTCCCCCGTCCGCCCGCAAAAGCGCGTGTGCGTTCTTTCTGCTGCGCATCAGTGTGGAAAAGGAGTGAGAAAACTTGCGTTTTAAACGATAATAACTGCAGCGATCGAAGCTAATCAGAGCTCGTTCCTCAAGGTGCGAGTGATTTGGGTAATGCAGTTAAAATAATTTATTTGTTTCGCGTACTTTCTTTAAAAGATTAACTCTCTAAATTCCTTGGAGTAAAATTTCACTTCAAAAGAAAAAATGGAAATACTGCCACTATTGAAAAAGAATGAAAATATTTGCACTTTGAATGAGAGTGGCAGATTTTCACTCTTTTCGGAATGAGATTTCAATCTTTTAGAGCAAGATTTATTTTAAAAAATGAGTAGATTCCTTTCTTTAGCGTGAATCTAGAAGAGTAAAATCTCACCCTAAAAAGCAGTAAAACTTTGCCACTTATTCAAGAGTGCTAATATTTTCATCTTTCTCAATAGCGACAGTATCTTCATTTTTTGGGATAATATTTCACTCCAAGAAAAATTTAGGAAGATTAATTATTTCTTACAAAATTAGTACAATTTATAAATACACTTTCGAAATTACACGCGATGGATTTTAATAATTACTACCACGTATACCCCCGGTTTGTAAACAATTAAGTAAAGAATAATTGTATTTGTTTGCTCACCATTCACCTCCTCCAAGGGTTGAGGTAACGTTGTTGGTAATGCCGGTCCAGTTGTCCATCCTAATAATCCAGGTGGAGGCGGTGGCAGCGTACCCCTGTTTAGATTAGCGTGCATAGGTTGTAGCATGGCGGTTGTGTGCTCCAGAAATTGTTGGTAAGCCGACGGCATGTCGGTAGCCGACGGTAAAACCGTCGTGGTACCTAGAACATAAAATTATAGTATATTTATTAATTTTCTTGTTTTATATACTGAAGTAGAACTAAGTAGTAAAGAAATTTCGAAAACTTTGAAAAATTGTCGTGATTTTAAAATTACATTAATTTAATTAAGGTGAATTTTTTAAAATAAATCATTAATATATTCATATCTTAAAGAGAATAGAACACTGTGTGTGTATGCATGTGTTGCTATTTTGTAAATTTTGTAGGTTCTAACTTGCAACAAATTAATACCAAATACGTTTTCTTAATTCTGTTTAATTAATATATTAATAATTGATATACCAATCAATTATTAATATATTATCAAGTGTTTTTCTTTGTTACTATAGTTAATTTAATTTAGTTAATTTTTGGTTAGTAATCTAATAATTTTGATATTACCTTGCACATCTGGTTCATCTTGCGACGGTTTTGCATCGTTCAATTCCAAAATGTCGCTGATGGCAAAACCAGAAGTTCTAGCTGGCATTTTCATACTTTCCAGTAGCCTGTAACAAAAAAATTACATACTATAATTTTAGCCTTGATGAAATATTAAATGATATTAAAGAAAAAGTTTTGATATTTGGTATACAGAATTTTCATAAAAAATAAATTTGTTTGTAAAGATAACATGCACCTGATGTTATACATCTCGACATTTATGTGCATCCTTCAATTCGTAAGATTGTTAATGCAATCTTAGAGTCTGTTTACATGACAATACGTGCTTATATTAAATCGGATACTGATATCATTATTAGTCCTTTTTAATCTCTCGAGATACAGCGATGAATAAATTGATATGTTTCGGGTTATACTTATCGTATAATAAACGTAAGATATATATAGTACATTCGCGGCAAGCTTGAACGAAAGTCAAAAATATATGTGTTTTATGAAAGGATCTTGCGAGTTGGAAAGTCGCATACAAAGATCACTCCTTGACAGTAAGATTTAATTTTCAAGATTGTCATTGGTTTCGGAAGCTGTACCGAACTGTCAAAAAGCCACCGGTCCTTTCAGGATACGATTAAAGAAAAGTCTTTATGGATACAATGCCTGTGCACGTTTGATCACAATCAACCTGTCTTCGGACCTGTGTATAGAAGTAAATTTTTGGGCCTGCTCCTTAAGCTATACGACCCATTATCGCGTCACGTCTGATCATATACGTTTCAATACATTCCTGGCGTGAAGTGCGGATGTTGTTGAATAACCTTTTTTGGAATTACACATTCTTTTACAGATTGTTATTTGAAAATTTTGATGGATACAAGAAATTTGCAACGGGTTGAGATGATAATTATTCGATATAATTTTTTGTGCAGTTTTAACTTGTTTCAATTTTTAGTTACAAATGCACGTGATTTTTACGAATGTTAACTACATTGACATTACGATTTTTATTCAACAGAGTTTTATAATGCAAAATGCATAGAGATACTTAATAATATTTAACTTATCTATTTATTTTAATATGCCTTGACATAATTATGCAAAAATCAAATTAAAATATCACACAGAAAAATGATGCCGACAAATTGAATTTTTTATAAAGAATCGATAATTATTTGGAAGTGCCAGCGTTGAAATCGCCCGCGATTTCAATCTCCTCTAATTATAATATTTTTTACATTATTTGAATTTCTTCATCAGAAAATCATTATGATTTTTGTCTCTAAAGAGCTCTTCTTTACAACAGAAATTCGGTTATCCAAACTAAAACAAAAATTCAAATAAACGATTGCTTTAAATAATCAGTCAACTATATAAAAAAGATATATAAAGTTTATATATGATATTTCTTATATTGTATGATATCTTGTTTATTGTACAATATTTATGAAGATTACAATATTTATGAAAAATTTTATAAATTAATTTTAAACGTCTGTAGATTCTAAACTATTAATATTAGAATTACTAATAAAGTCCACAGATATATGTAAAATAAATATAAATGTGCTTGGATAAATGTATATCAATATGAGTTTATTTTTGTTTCTTTTGTATTTGGATAATCTTAATGATATTAGCCATTGCTAAATTATCTAGACAAATGACAAAGCGAGAATTGAATTTGCAAATATAATAATGAAAAAAACTATAAAATAATAGATTTGAAAAACTTAAATTTTAAAACTTTTTGTGCCTTAATAATATTAAAAATATAAAAAAATTATTTTTATTTGATTTAGACTAAAATATTATGTTTAAATTAAACAATATAATTCTGATTCTATCTCTTTCTTTCTCTTTTATATATACTGCATCTAAATTATATTATATAATATGATGTATTAATATATCATATTAATTGAAATATTTGGGCTATAATAAAATAAATCAATCAAATTATATATTATCTTATATAGTCGTTGCATCGCCGAGAGCTTAATACACACCTTGCCATGTAAACATATAGTATTTAATAGTGATTTTTATGTTGTGAGTATGTTTAATCGATAAGTGTTCTAGTAAGTATCAAGGATATTAAGAGTTAATCGGATATTTTGCGATATCGCATGATAATATGCAATATCTTTTAATGAAAGCAATCTTAATGAAGCCACGTGTAAAAACTCGAGGGTCGTAAAAATCCGTATAAAAACATTACGATCGACAAATCCAAGTTTTTTAAACTTATCTATCAGAAACTTGACTATTTATTATACATTATTAAAATTTCATAACAATAACATGTTTTTATAATCAATTATATAAAGAAATTATTTATAATGTTTTAATATATCTGATATGTATGTATCGATTCTTTCTCTCTCTCTCTCTCTCTCTTATTTTTTAAATTAAATAATTAAAAAAGAGTTAAAAAATAAAAGAAACTAAATACATCAATTATTTATTTATTTTATTTACCTAGTATTTAATGCGAGCTGACTGTACCAGACGTGATTTAAAAGGCTAGCCGAATATGGTAGTAACGGCCAGGGTAAAAGCTTATTCTTATCTGCCATTTTGAGAAGATTTTAAAGTTTATTATTTTTATTCTTATTAACGTCGATACATGTTACACTCTTTAACGCACGCACATGTTAAGATTGAAAAAAATCTCTTCTAATTCATCATGTATTTGTTTTCTAACTGTTGTTTTCTTTTCTCTTTTAACTGCTCAGTAATCAGAAATTGACATTAAATCTTCTTTACTTAATAATATTTAGAAGATTTTTTCTCTTTCTATCTTTCTCTTTTTTCTCCTTTACTTCATTTTTCTTCTTTCACTCGTTTTGCATAATACGGATGAAAATTGAAACTTTTGTCTTCTGTCTTCCACGCGTATTGATTTTTAATTTATAATTTACCTGTTCTTATCTCTCGAAAATTAACGGTGCATGTGTATTTATATTTTTTTGTAGTATATTTCTTTATTTCGATTGACTTGAGTAACTTCTATCTGTTTAATCTCTTCAATTTTTCCACGATTGCCGCTGCCCATGATATTTTCGATTCTTCTTTCTTTTTCACTTTCTCCTATCTTTGTCACACAACACTGTCATAGGTCTGTATTTTACCATAAATAACTTTTCACACAATGATAGTTCGGATATGTGCAACAAAAGTCCAGCACATATCCGAATAATTAGTCCAGTTAATTCAATCACCAATTCCCGTTTTTTTCCCGTGCCGTTTCCGTTTTTCGAGACACTCGTCAATTATTATCGGTCACTATCACAAATAACTATTAACGGGTTACGCGAAGGTGACTCTGCTCGAGTAGCACGAAAAGCAGGCTACCGGTTCCTTTTCGGAGCTGCTGAAGGACTCTCCTTGTAGTTTTTGAGTGTCCTCGACGAGCACTTGACGGCTAGTGTTCCCTACCTCGAGCAGTTTCGCTTGTCAAGCACCCTCAAAGCGCAGGGCGGGTTCTACGTGGAGGCGGGGATTTCTCGTTCATCCCCCCAGCTCGTTCTCCTCGTCGCGTATCCCTCCCTGCCATCGACACCCGGCTGTAACTTAGGGAAGCTTTTCCACGGGAGAAGCGCCGAATAGAGGAGAATGTTGTTTCTTTTTTATTGTTGTTATCGTCTTTAGAAGTCTCGTTTAAAAAGTAAATGCATTGATAATAATATAGTTTTAATGAAAAGTTCAATTGTTTTATCTTTTATTCAAACGGCAAGTACAATTTGTTGAAGTTAAACTGATATTTTTAAATGTATGAAATAATTTATTTTCAACAATTACAAGGAAAGCAAATAGTATTTGCAAATTTTTCAAGAGCTAAATTGATTTTATTGCGATCATTTATAAAGTATGTTAGTAACTAAGAGGTCTTAACATATTAAAAAAGATTTAACTTTTTTAAATAGCACAATTTTAATACATAATTATTTTTTCCAAAATATAATTTGAGACGTAACTTTAGCAAATCGTTTCCTATAACCAATTTTAAAAATTCTTAAAATATTTATCGCTATACTTTTTCATGTTAATTTTTTACATATGTAAAAGTTTCACACTTCTAATATTTTAGCAAAGTTTCGCCACTTTCAGCGATTTTACGAAGGGTATCCCTTGCTCGGGAGACTCCGTGCGACTGGTAATGTTACCGTGGCAAGTTACCGAGGGGTGGAACCGTCGGCCAACCAATGGGATAGTCGCGTGTCGGGAAACCCTCGCCCGACAGCCCGGGGGTTGATTTCAATCCAGCTCGGCGAGCGAGCCAATCGCCGGGCTTCATCGATCAGGAGGCTTTTTACACCGAGAGCATACTTTACGTCGAGTGTTAATGTGAAAGAGCATTAGCGGTGCTTTTACTGTGTCATTTCGATTTTTCACTCGCGTCCCTTCCCTCTTCCCCCGCCCCATATTCTCCCTTTTCCTCTCCGTCCCTCGTGGCACTCACAATCAGATCGCTACCTATTGATACGTAAAACTGGGTTAGAAGCGTGGTCGCGACTTACGGTCGAATGTTACACAAATGTGAACGAGATACGTATGATCAATCAGCTCACTGTCGTCTTTTAGGGGCTTGTTTGCTTGAGCAAAAACCGAAGGGTGCCAATTCGAGTATAATTGAAAGGAGAAGAAACTAAAGAGAAGAGATATTCTCGCAATAAATTTTGTATACATTATTAATTTAATAATACAATAATATATTGAATGAAATCTTATAAATTCTCTGAAATTGAATGTTTTACACTGAAAGAAGAATATGGCACAGCATTTTTAATTGGCTACAGCAGCCAATTTTTAGTTGTAGCAACCATTGCGGATGGCTAACGCAACTAAAAATTAGATGCTACAGCCAATTACGAATGCTTTACTTTATTTTACCATATAAATTACTGCAGCCAATCTTTTCTTTCAGTGTATAAATTCTACAGTTCCATACACCACAGAACTTGCAGTAATCTGGACTTAAAGTGTTTAAAATCGAGACATAGATGTTTTTGACGTCTAAAAAACATCTTAAAGATGTCTTCTGTCTCAATTCTTGTATTATTTGGGAACATTACTGCAACATCTGCAATGTTGCTGCAATATCGTTCAAGTGATCTGCGTTGTATGGAAATCACCTGTCTTTATATCACATACGTATTTACGAGTTTAGTAATCATGCTAAGCGAATTTTGTTCTTTCAACCGATCGTGATTTTCTCAGACATTGCTTACTAAAGTAAAAAATTTCAATAAAAAAATGCAAAATCCAGTTGAAGATGCCAATGTAATCGAAGAAGCAAATGGACGGAGCAGTCAGAGAAGAAGTCAACTTTATTACGACAGTTAAATAAATCAGACTGTCAGCATAATTCAGGCGAAGAGTGTGACGGCTAATTTTACAGTGAGACGTTTGTTATGTGCGCGTTCCGTGACGATCAGGTCTCTGTTTTTTTCCCTCCAGATAATCATGATGCTCGCGCGCGTGAAAAGAAAGACACGTTGGTGCGCAGCAACAAGGCTCTGACCTGATTTCTTTTTTATATCCACCTACTCACTTATTATTCGCGGACACGCGTTTATTACGTTGACGCGATAGATAAAGTCATTTCGCGATTATCATTCGGCACAACACATATCATCATCCGTCGCATAAAAATAATTTCGCGTATCCCGCGATTTAATCGAATCGAATTTACTTCGACCTTTTTTCACGACATTTTGATCGCAGATAATATTATCGCGGTAAAATACCGAAGCCGCATTACATGTCAGGATCGTACAGTATTATTGATTACCAAAGATGTCAAGATATTGTCGCGCATCGCAAAATATTTTGCAATATTTCTCTTGTAATACATCGCATATATCATTTTATAATTCTATAGAAAAAGTATACAGTGTGTGTAAAGAAAATATAAAAAATATAAGGGGAATAACAATAAGACTTTTACGGTGGAAAAATGTCTTTCAAAGAAGGCGAATTTCGCAATCTCCGCGTTCTTTGAAGTCCCTAATTTATCTTAAACATTTTTCAGGATGGTTAAATTTTAAGAAATATTTGGGTGTTCTATTTTAAGCGGGGGTAGCGCATTTTTGATCTCCCAGTTCAGCCGACTCTTCGAAATTGATGATTCGTCGGACTCGTCGGTGTCATTGAATGGAATCGCAGGTTGTATCCAATCGCAAGAAGAGAGATGCGCACCTGAATGCGGGCACTCACAATAAATGCACGCGCGTACCGACGGTAGCACGCTGGAAAATGGGGTTTCAAAAAGCGCGATTTAGGAACGTGGAACAGGTAAAGGGACAGGAGCGACGATGGGGCGAGTTTCCGGTTTATTCAGACCGCTCTATACAATCGCACAGCTCCACCACACAAAAAGTCAAAAAGTGCGGAAGAGGGTGGACCCGACTTTTCTACTTTTCTCATAGCCGCGTCTTGGCCAAATTTATAATCTGGAAATAAAATCTAACGGCTACCGGAAAGCAGGAAAACACTTGTATTCCGTATGTGATCAAGATGCTGACATTTAGTTATTTTGTCTGAATTACTAACGCGACGATTATGTACTACAAATGTGCATGATTTTTCGTTACCATTATAATACATTTATAATTTGAATTCATAATAATGAAAACAATATAGGTATTGATGACAATGTGATGATTGCTTTTTACATGAATAATTCTGACATATATGATATAAGTAATTTAAATAGAGAATATAATATTTTATTTGATTTGTTATAGATTGTTAAATATTTAGTAAACAAAGGATTAAAGAGTGCATTTTATAAAATTGACATGTTACGAGAGCAAATCAATAAGTTTTTAGAAAATCTGTTAGTCGCAGTCTCATGTCACATTCCTTTTTGACAAGTAGCACTTTTCAGCTGATTACTGTCAAATTTTGAGCGGAATTCATCGAGAGACTTCATTTCTGTAGACGATTAAAACGAACAACCTTTGTATTTTTTGCAAAATGGAAAAAAAACGAGTTTCGTGCAATGATCAAATATCTACATATGAAAGATTTAACGCCGAAAGAAATCAAAGCCGAGTTGGATAATGTTCATAGCACACCTGCACCAGCGTTCGCGACTGCATATAATTGGGTGAATGAATTTAAACGTGGTCGTACATCCACATGTGATGCACCTCGTTCGGGACGTCCAATTGAGGCTGCTATGCCAGAAATCATCGATAAAGTCTACGATATTGTTTTGACTGATCGACGAGTGAAAGTGCGCGAGCTTGTTGAGGCCACAGGCATATCACATGGTACAGTGATTTCAATTTTGCACGAACAATTGGATATGAAGAAGCTATCGGGAAGATGAGTGCCACGTTTGCTCACTGTGGACCATAAGCGCAACCGTATGACGATTTCAAAACAATCTTTGAAAATGTTCAACGTAATCCAGATGAATTTCTGCGTCGATTCATTACTGTGGACGAAACGTGGATCCATTACTTCACATCCGTGACGAAGGAACAGTCAAAACAATGGACCACCGGGTGAACCAGCTCCAAAGAAGACGAAGACCATGAAGTCGGCCGGAAAGGTGATGGTCACA